TTTAGGTGAAGATTACAGTTAGGTTAAGGGTTAGGTTAAGATTACAGTTAGGTTAAGTTATGGTAAATTTAGGTTAAGATTACAGTTAGGTTAAGTAATGTTTAGATTACAGTTAGATTAAGTAATGTTTAGATTACAGTTAGATTAAGGTTATGTTTAGGTTTAGATTACAGTTAGGTTAAGGGTTAGATTAAGATTACAGTTAGGTGAAGTTATGGTTAGGTTTAGGGAAGTCATAACTATAGGGAAGTCATAATTAATGCTAAAGTGACTTCACAGGTAAATATTATTTGTAATGAGCTGCTGGTGCAGAATAAGTCATACAGCGTACATCTCCATGATCTCCGGTCTGACTGGGGCGTGTATCGCTAACACATCTTTTATGATCACTACCTGCTTCCCCAGGATTTCTTCTGACGTTGTTGCAGCTGCACCTTTACGTCCGGCATGTTTTGCCACGTCGTGCATTAGACCGTGCTCGTCACCACGTCAGACGGAAACAGCAGCAGCAGGCAACACCCACGCTGTTCACCCCCCCACCACCATGTAGCCCAGCCTCAGTCTGAACCAGCAGCTCACCGGGCTGACACCCTGCGTCCCCTCGGTCTGTGGGAGCTCAGCCGCACCGGCCCCCTCTTCTCCCTGTGATCCCTCCACTGGTAAGCACTCACGCTAAAATCGCTTGCTAGCTGCTTAGCATGGGCTAACCCGGTGGATGTGAGGTTGAAGCCGCTGGGTTGTGTAGTTTGTTCGGCTGGTTGACAGCACACACGAGGGGAAACTGAGACGCTGTAACGTGACACTGACTCACATATTACTCATGTGTTGTATATGTACACACTCAGTCAGATGTCACTGCGGTAAACAAACGATTTTCTGCTAATGTTACGTCAGCTAGCTAAAACACCGGTCTAACGTTAGCGGAGGAGTCCACATGAGTTGTTTGGCCACTCGGGCTGCCGTAGCGAAACATGGTGTCCGAATAAAACTTTCTGAACTTATTCTAACTGTGATACTTTATTTACTCGCATTGTTTGTTGATGGTGTCAGCAGTAAAAGTGTATTGGCTGCCATGGAAACCACTATCAAACCTCTGCTAGCTTCATCTAACTTAGAACCGTCTCACTATGAATGGACCTCTGTTGGTTTCACCCTGCTCACCTTACACATCCTGGTCCACATCATGGTCCACATCATGGAGAGACATCCAGCTCAAGATACAAGGGTGTCACCTCATGACCGCACACATGGGCGTGTGTCAGTTTAAATGCCAGCAGGCACTTACAGCTATCAAAGCGTGGCACGTCAGTGTGTGTGTGTGTCTGGTCAAAGTCCTGTGTGAGTTCCAGTAAACACGTTGGTAAGGTGAATACTGCTGATCTGATGTTAGATGGAGGCTTTCTATTCAGCAGGTCTTACTTTCATTGTTCTATGGGCGTGTGAATTTACCTGCCCCTGTGTGTTTGAAGCAGAGATCGTGGAATGTTGCTGGACGAGACTCCGCTCTTTGAGCCCTCTCTGCTTCAGGAGCTCGACTGGAGCAGCAGCACAGTGTCCTTCTCTCCACCCATCTCTCCGGCCAGCCCCGGAGAAGGCCTGGTGCTAAGGCCACTCTGTATGGCCGACTTCAATAGAGGTGAGTGTGGGAACATATTTCAGCTTTTATTTCAATTGTTTTTAAATATATTATTTTATTTGAAAAAACCTAGAGCAACCCTAAATGACAGTGTGATCCCATCCCATGACACCCGGTCTCTTTTCCACTCTACACCACCTTACTCTTCCTCCCTAACTCAAAATGTTAACACCAAAATAAAAAAAAGAGTCCATATTATTCTTGCTGAACCCGCACTCCCAACCCTCCTCTGTATTTCTTTTGTCTTATTTTGGTTTATCTTTTTTTAATAAATTTAGATTTAGATTAGTTAAATGTGATTTTTTTCCCTCATAAGTGTCTTAAATGTAAGATTTAAGTAATGTAGTAAAATATAACTTAAAAAAGTTGTGTTCATCAACTGTTGTGTGTTTGTGCTTCAGGATTCTTCAAGGTTCTATCTCAACTCACGCAGACGGGCGATGTGACACCCGAGCAATTCACAAGTAAGATGGCTCAACATAATGATCATTTAACGTATGGATAATGTGAGATACTGCCATTCTATTTACTTTGTTCAGAGCATAGCACACAGCTCAAATATTTAAGTCACCTCTCTTTCTGGGCATCAGACTTGAATTAACTGCAGCTAGTTTACAAAGTTTAAATACAATATTAGATCCATTAAAAACAAATTGCTGTCTTTTGAATTCCAGAAAAGTTTGAGCACATGAAGAAGACGGGAGACTACTTTGTTATTGTGGTGGAGGACACAAATCTGGGACAGATTGTTGCTACGGCCACATTGATCACAGAACACAAATTCATCCACTCCTGTGCTAAGGTAAATTAAACAATGCAGCTCTTAACAATTTGTGTACATTTTAAAAATAGATGCAACTATAATTTCTTTCTACATTTGCCAATCACATCATTAATAGGGGGGTTCCAATTTTTGTTTTCATTGATTCATATTTAGTAATCTTAAAATTGGTTGAAATCATATATTTGGAATGAAAACCATCTCTGTTGGTGTTCTGTTTGTAGAGAGGCCGGGTGGAGGAGGTAGTCGTTAGTGACGGTTGCAGAGGGAAGCAGCTGGGCAAACTGTGAGTAGACCTGTGTGAGCTGGACAGAAAGACATCTTCTTTAAGCTTGTTTTAATTTTTAAAACCTTGTATTGAAACCCCAAACTTTTTTTTTAAACTCATCCCTTTTCTCCTTTCTCTTCCTTGTAGGTTAGTTTCAACTCTGACTCTTCTCAGCAAGAAACTGAATTGCTATAAAATCACATTGGAATGTGCACCCAAAAATGTGGCTTTTTACCAAAAGTTTAGCTATGGCGCTTCAGAGGACACCTACATGCAGTGTCGATTCTTTGACTGAGGACAGCAGCCGCTTTAAGAACGGGAGAAATGGACCATATCTTTATAAATGCAGGGATATAAGTTCTACGTTTTTGCAATTGTTTTACATCAAGCTGGATTCTAGAGAAGGGGGTCTTGTCTGCAGGCCTTGTCTTTGCGTGCATTTCGTGTCCTGACAGTGGAGCTGACCTGAGAGCAGAGCCTGCGCCAGAAGTGAACCCAGAGAGAAGCCCTGCAGGCAGACATGCAGAGGGGCCCTGGATAAGATCAGTACAGATCTGAGGGAGAAATTGAGGATGGGGGTGTGACACAATGAGCTAGCCCAGCAGCTGTATGAAACTATTAGATGTAGAATTTGAAGGGTAAACAAACAGTTAATGAGCAAAACACAAATATTCATGTAGGTTAAGAGCATATCATATACTGTCTGCTTTTTTTTTTTTTTTTTTTTAATTACACAGAACACAGGGCAGTGCACTGTGGGGGAAGCGGTCACCTTTATTTTTTTGTTGTTGCTTCAAGCCCTGTACACAAACTGACCTTGACAAATTCTTAAGAACTGGCAGATACATGAATGTATGTTAAAGCTCTCTGCTCAGTCCAACATCATCCTTTGGTAACCTGACATCTTCCTCATCATCTGCAGAGATGACTGCCAGTTACTGTGAATGTGACGCTCTATCGTCTTACGCTGCTGAGTGATGACAGAGAACTTTCAAATATCTGTGACTACCATGAAACAGGTAGTGAACGTGCTCGGGACAAGAAGATGGCACCAAATGAACTTAATAATTAAGAGTTTACAGCTTCTCAAAACCAGACATGCTTGAAGCATGATGATTCAGCAATGTCTCACATATCTCTGCTGTATTGATCATAAAGGGCAAGTCACCAAAGAACAGCAACTTTTTGTCTTCACACGTGAATAGGAAATAACTTCCTAAGAGAACAGGTTTTACTTGATTTTCATTCTTTTGTCCTCTGCACAGAAGACATTTCTTTCTCTAACAGTTGTGTTGCTGGATATTATGAAGGAAATAATAGGTTTTTACAGTTTTGTATCTGGTTGATATTCCCAATCAGCAGAGATGAGAAATGGGTAACAATGATTTTTGTAAGCAAACCTTTATTTAAGCTTTTTGTAGTTAAATTTTATAACTATGCTGTTATTCTGGAGAACAGGGGAACATATTTTATGTAATTTATTTCCAAATATGTAATGGCCAAAATAAAATATTCTGATCTACAGTATTGTTCACCTGAATTTCTATTTGTAAAACAAATCTGAAGACCCCGAGGTACACTCAGAACTCACTGGAGGGATAACATATCCCATCGAGCCAGGAATCCCCCTGGAAGTGCTATAAAAGCGTGAGAAGGGGGAGGAACATTGGATATCCGTAGCTGGCTACTTCCATGACCCAAGCCAGGATAAGTGGAAGACAATGGAGGGATGGATTTAAGTTTTGTCATTACAAATTTGTTTTAAAATGAAACAAACATCAGCCTCATGGTTAAACCCATTCTGCCATCAAAGCTTAAATAAGTTATAATAATAAATAGTATTACATTTAGAATAACCATCTTACTTTACAATATAAAATGCATCTTTAGGTAATATTTAATAATAGCAGAGCATTACGATAAAACATAAAAACACAGTTGAACTCAGTCAGACTTTTTATTAAGCAGTGAGTTATTTTTCAATTCTTGCTATCTCACATTAAGCCTGATATTAGTCCACAATCCTATTACTCCCAAAATAAAGGCATTAGCTCTTCCTCTTCTCGTGTCCTCCACTGGGCAACATCCGGGCTACTTTCCCTTTTGCCGACTGCCCCCTTCTGGTCGTCTACACAAATTCAAGTATCGAAAGTGCATTATTGCAATACTGTCCCGCTGCAAATGCAAAATGCTTTAAATACTATAAAACTGCAAAAAATCTCCCATCAGTGCATACAGTTCAAGAAAAAAAAAAATCGTTATCAAATTCCCCCTTCCCCATCAGCACTCACGTCTCAGACACGAGTGGTCCCCCCCTCCCGCCCTCATTTTAGAAAAAGTTCAAATATTTACATTTTTAATCCCATTAAAAATGCGAAAAAAAAAGAGTGCACTGCGCCACACGGCTAAATGTAAGCAAAGCTCATCCGTTCTGTGCTGCTGTGACCTGCATTGCTCCAAAGTCTTCATCTTCCTCCAGGCTGCGCTTACGACTTCCTGTTGAAGAAATGTGGACAAAAAGAAGTTAACCTACAGCACAACACGCTGTCATTACACAGTGTGTTGATTTCAACAACAAGTTTGCAATCACTGGCAATCACAGACCTACTGCCTCCACAGCGCTGTGTCAGCACTGGAGAATCATCTGGTTTAGGAAATATCTTTTGACCTGTGCTTCTTTTTTCAAATGTTTCCCTTTTTCTCTTTTCTGTACTTGTAGGTTAGTTTCAACTTTATGCTGTTGCTATGAAATCAAATTGGTAGAAGAAAGTCATCAGACATCTGGTGAGTCAGACTAAAGTGTAAGCCCTTCTGGATCGAATTGATGTGTCAAACCCTGAATACTTCAGTCTGAGCTGGGTGAAATCATTAGCATGCAACAAATCCGGGAAATTATGAGTCAATTCATGAGAGCTCCAACTGGAATATAAATGTGTGCGACCTAAATAGAAACATTCATGATATTAAAGGTGCGGGGGTAAGTTAGGAAATCATCCACAACAAAGCTGATTATCATTTGCTGATGAACCGCACTGTTAAGAGCTGCCTTGTTCAAATGTGAAACCCACCTCCAGAACATTATCACAACATAACGCCAGCTTGTTCTGGATCTGAAACATTAGGACCCTGAAGGTGTTTTATTCCCACTCAGCCACAGCTTCGACAGGTTCTTCTACTAATCCAGTAACAGATAGTCGTGCAGGACTGAGCGCACTGTGTACAAACCTGGCATCCCAGCTTGTAAAGAGAAGGACCTGCCCAACTGCATCGGTGACATCATCTTTATGGTCAATTTGGCTGAGTAGATCGCTTCATACTCCTAGGAAGCAAACACTCGTTACAGCTGTACGGAGTTAACATTGGCTGCAGAAAAGCACAGTCAGCAGCACAGAACATGTTGTAGTGGGATGCTGTGTTCTCAGGACATGTTTTTAAAGCTGACGGTAGATTGGCCTCCAATTAAATGCCCAACCTGGAGACTCCCATGGCTGATACCAGAACATTACCCTGCGTGCCAGTGTATTGTTTGTGTGTGTGTGTGTGTGTGTGTGTGTACAAAAAAACATAACAGATTTTCCCTAAACTTGCTGTGAAAATGATTTGCGATGGTATCTCCAAATTATTACATTTTGAAAGACAAAGCGAAAGAGAAAGAGAGAGAGAGACAGAGAGAGTAATAGGAAGAGCTCTGCACATGCTCTACAACGAAGCAACAGCACAAAACACTGTTAGAAACCTTCTATGGTGTAGCTTCATATGGTACAAACATTTTCTTGCCCATATTTTACTCCATCAAACTGTGGCAGGACAAATATAACATATAATATGATATGATGTAATAAGATCAACTATAATATTTTATATTATAATATAATACAGTACAGTACACAGAGCAACACACAACACACACATTCATTAGAATATGATAATGTTTACCCTCTGTACTAATAGACAATGTGGCTTCACTGGTGTAAACACATGCTTGTCATGTGACTGCTAAAGAAAACACTCCTCACACCAGAGGACCATTATTCAGAATTAGTATTCATACTGACAGGGAACAGGTGACCTGAACAAGCCTTGTTTTAAACACACACTTTCTATCTTTTTAAACATGCAACATTTACTCACTCTCACAATTTACGTCATCACTAAAAACCCATCTGTTTAAAATTGCCTTCTCCGTCTAAACTAACCTCATGCCACTGTGATTTTTAACCGGTTTTAATGATGTATACTTTTAATGTTTTTCTTTTTAATGTTTCTCTTTTTTGCTTTTAAATATGTGCAGTGTCCTTGAGTGACAGAAAGGCACCTTTGAAATAAAATGTATTATTATTATTAAATGATGTGCTGCAATATTGTGAATATCCCTTATAACTGTTTTCGTACAAAAGCATGTAAAAAAGTCTTCATACTTCATGATGTACAGTATATATGGACGTTTATGACATATGTGTAAAATAGAATGCAAAAGTCTTCAAGCAGAACATTTTGCTGCAGTAATTATTGCTAGAAACAGAAGCAGGGTTCTTGACAGTATATTGTGTTGACAAGCAGTCAACACCTGTGTCGGGGGTCTCACCTGTAGCTGATGCACAAAGCCCACATTGGGGTTGATGCAGAACCTCCTCTCCTGGACGTGGCTGAATGCATCCCTACAAAGTGAACATGACAAAGTTACACCCAGTCTCTGAAACACTGAGTATTATAACTGTAAACAAACATGTATTTGCGGTTTATACTTCTGATACCTGCATTCTATCATACATGTGTCTAATGTATTTGTATCTATTATTGCATGAAGACACAAACTAGACTCTAGATGTATGAGAGGCATACTGTGCATATTTATCATGTACTGTTGTGGTACAAAAGACAATTGAAAAGGTAGGCAAGTTTTCAAATGATGTAAAACAGAAAAACACTGAGAAGAAAACAACCAAACGTACCTGTATTTCATCCCGAAAGTTTCCATAAGGTATGCAATCACTAAGGCGGCACTAAATCAAACAAGGAATAAAGGACAGTGTCAGTATAAAGCTATAGTTTGGGCTCAACTGCTCTAATCTGAGAATATACTTAAGTTAATTAAAAATACAATATCCAAGGATGGGTTAGAAACCTTTAGCAGCCATATGTCATGGAATTTCACTACACACACAGTGCATGTTGAGAAATTACAATATAAAATCATGTGAGATTGTGAAAGCAAATCAAACGTCACCTTCTTGATATCCCTGCATTACCATGAACCAGTACCTTTCCTAAAAGAGAAAGACGAGAGATGGTTAAGACTTTTTTTTTCTACTTGACATTCTGAGTATGTAAATGGACACTGCATGCATTCCTACCTCCTGTTGCTAAGCAGCTATCGATAAATTCCTTAGTCTGTGGGGAAGAAAATGAAAGAGAGAAATGAAAATGCCAGACACCTCATTTCAGCAAGTGAAGAAGGAAATATAGAGGCTACTTTGTTTGCTCACCGATGGGAAAAATCGGATTATATTTTCCACTGGATTGTCAGCAATATCTAATACAAGGTATCTGCAAAGATGCGATAACATTTCGTTCATGGGTTAGCAACAAAAGACTTTCAACATGTCACACATGTGCAGTCACATGAAAAATGTACTCACCTAAATGTATGAGGGAAATTAGGTTTGATAAAATTGGCTTCGATGTCTTGGCGGACACACACAACATGTGTTATGCCCTGTCTCTGGAGAATTGGCAGCTGCACAAAAAGAAAGTAGATAAGTAACACGAGGATCAAAAATATATGAGCAGAGAATGAATATGTTTCTCTGTGTCA